GAAAGCGTTACATGACCCATTTAAACCTTCTTGATAATCATTCAAAAGTGGCCGCTTTTCAATTTTCAGGAATATTATTTTATCCATTTGTACTGGTCTTGAATGGTGTCATTTGGCTGATAGAAAGCTTGGTCACAATTACTGGAAGAGCGGATTGCTGATAACTGCGGACAACCATTCAATACTCTCAATTTCCATAACGTATCGAGCTTGATGCTTAACATTCAGTCTCATTATCCATAAAAATACCCGCAGAAATTAAATAAATTAGCAGAGGCCTGTTTTGCCCTGAAAGTCTTTACGGACGATTGTAACGCCCCTCCAGAAATCGGCCGGCTTGGAGGCCAACGAGGGCTCTACTGCATTGTGCCTCAGGTGATAATCTCAACGTGTGGCGATTAAAGGGCGTCGCAATTCTCATCGGTTTGGGGATTATTTCTCCTAAATGTAGCTTAAATCTTGTTTTCGGAATAGCGGCGTCATCACGATCACGAAACCAATTTACCGGCACTATGCCCAACATTCACTGAAAAGATCGAGCTATTCTATAAAACTGCTAAGTATATATACCTTTGCCGCACGAGGCATAAAATCTTTGTTGGACTACAAGAAAAGTGGTGTGAAAGATAAATTGTCATTATGAACAACTTATTTAAATACGCTCGATGGCAACACATACAGCCTATGCGCATTCGCTTCTTTTCTTGTCTGTACAAATGAACACCCTCCTTACTTTTGATGGTGGACATAAGAATGATTCGTGTCCACTTTCCTTCCGTATGAAAGTGCATGAAAAAGAGATTCGTAGGTCTATCTCACCAGAAGAGGACGGATGAATCCCGTTATACTTCAGCCGTTCGGCTTTTATACGATCTTCCGGTTGACGCAGTCCACGAAACTTCCTCCCTCGTTTCGGGTGAAAACGGGCTGAGCTTTCGTCCATCATATGATGGACATCATCAGAGTTGGCTCTCATCCCTGTGGTTTGGTTAATTATCTTTCATACTGGTCCTGCTACTTTTGATCGAGTGTGTTGAATGTGAGGAACGGTGTTAGCAAGTTGAGTAGGAACTGCTTATGCTTGATTGATAGATTAAAAGAGAGAGAGGGTATTGAGCCGCCGTCCAAAATAAGGTGATTCAATTTGTCTGTTTAGTGATGGTTCTAACTTCACTCGCATTCGTCCAACATGTTAGATTTAGCCCATCAACCAAACCAGACATGTCAGAATACGCAGCCCCAATCATGCCTTTCCTTGGGGGGTTAAACGTTAATGACCCTAGACTCAAAGGTTAGAGCAAGTGGTTTCGTAACTTGACTTACATGCTTACAATCTTATATCTCATTATCTCAACCATACTTGTTTACGTACTTACGCAGTCTCAGTCAGCGCTTTCTCTTGGGTCAATAAGCCTTGATGACTTGAGCCTGATATTGGTCTTTTTATGACTGATTTACGACTAATATTGCGAATAGATGCTAACATACACACACACACTTGAGCAAAAGTAGTAGCACCAGTATGAAAGATAATTAGCCAAACCATTCTTTATTTATCTAGGTTTTTAATTTTCTTTTGCTTTATTGAGTCTATATAAGAGCTAAGATAGAGCCAGATAGTCTTCTTGTCTTAGTATTAACGTGAGACTTTTACAGGAATGACACCCAGCTCCGATGATGTCCATCATATGATGGACGAAAGCTTAGCTCGTTTTCACCCGAAACGAGGGAGGAAGTCTCGTGGACTGCGTCAACCTGAAGATCGTATAAAAGCAAAACGGCTGCAGTACGACGGGATTCATCCATCCTCTTCTGGTGAGATGGACCTACGAATCTCTTTTTCATGCACTTTCATACGAAATGAAAGTCCCCCTAACAATGCTATCTCAGGAGATTCATCATAACCCAGTTTCTCTTCGTACTTTAATTGGCTTTGCTAAGTTAGCTTTGTTTTTAAGCACGTCTTCATTCCGGAATGGCTGAATGCTTAAATAGGTCAAGATTAGGCTAATTACACCACTAAAGACATAGTAAAATCTGTATACAAAACTATTCCAACTAATAAGTAGTTTCTCACTGCAAATGTTTTATGCAATTATAAAGTTGAAGATACGTATTGCTTACTCATCTTCACTAATTTATGACTCATGCCTGCTTTTAATATGTGATCCAGCATTTCTCAATTTTCATCGCTGGCTGGCAGGAATACGTGCCCACTTGATCCTGATTGCCTGAGGCATTCTTGCCAGAAGGTGGAATAAAAGTTTAGACTACTAATATACTTCATTATTAATGTGGACTTTTTAGTTGACTGTTATTTCCTGTTCATACAAATCATTTTGGCCAGTATGAAGACTTTGGTTTTCATTTAATTCCAAATTGGATTTTATTACCAACATTGATTGAGGTTATACACATCAATCAAGTTAGTCCATTTCATCCCAACGAAAATAACAATATAAGCAGGAAATACCTCGCTTCTTTTAGTTTGTCTAACAAGCAGGGGCTGATTAGAGCATAATTAAAGAAAATATTTAATGAAAATTCCAGGTTAAGTTTTTAACAAATTAGATACTCTTCGGTTTATCGAATCCAAACTTTAAAATGTTATTAAAGAGATGTACTGGTAATCTATAAAACCTGCTTATGAATAAAAATCTTTAGTTTGTAAGTCAACTAAATTGCATTGTAATCATGTAGAGTTTTAAACCAATTGGGTAGAATTAAGTTAGGAAACCCCCTTTTGTTCTATCGTGCTCGAATAAGATCTCTACCTCGGAGAATGAAGCTCAACTCTTTCGAAACTTTAGTACTTAGCCGACTCTTTGAATGGCTAACACCACCATAATAAAATTATGTATTGGAAAAAGGCCATATTAATTGCCCTTATTTACGTCCCTTCGGCTATTTGGACGTGAATAGATATAAATACTCGCCTGATATCAGACTATTCTGAATTGTCTTAAGCTTAGAAGGCACATTAGCGCACACAACCATGAAAGTTGCTGTATACCATCACTTTAAATAGGCTACTAGACGTGTACCGAATTCTTTTTTTATGTGTCCTGGTTTGTGTAGGAAACGAAGATGATGGGTCATTTTCTACTATAACTGTACTGTTGCAATCCTTCATTTTTCTAACAAACAAAGTCTCAGCAATGACGTCTCCCTGAGGATTACGAATAGCAGAGGGAGCTATATAATATAAATTCCACTCAATTCAAAGCTTTTATAAAACTTTTCGAAGAAATATATTCACGCTATAAGTTTACTACATTCTGATAGCATTGGAGTTCATAAAAAATATTTGTATTATAAAATAATTGTAGAAAATATTTCCTTG